GCGGGGCTTGGGGGCGGGGCCTCGGGCTGGGGAAGGGGGACGCCTGTTGATCTGGGAAGACAGGACGCTCCTAAGAGCCCGGATTGGAGGTCTGGCCACAGGAGAGGGAAGGAGGTATCAAAAGTAGGCAATATTGGGAAGGAGAAAAGATTCTGATACTGGAAAAAAAAAAAAAAGAATAGAGACACACAGCTCAGAAATATATTGGGAGAGAATCATGCTATTGGGTCCCTATCATCCAAATAATAAAATCAACTTTTTAACTTGACACGCAGAGATCCGCATGATCTAGCCTCTTCCACCTTTATCAGCCTCATTTTCCACCTCTCCTGGGGACTTCAAGTTCCCAAATTGTCCTGTGTTTTCAGGCCATTGGGCCTTAAGATGCCCAAACTCTCTCCTCGCTTGCTTGATAAATTCCTACTCCTTCAACCCTCAGCTCAAATGTCACCTCCTCCAGAAGGTATTCCCTCTGGTGCTCCTATTGCTGGGCATCTCTAGCAACTTGCACATACCTTATTGTTGCCATCCTGTGCCATAATTATTTACTGACATGTTGTATCACTTTTGCCCTGCTGCCCCATTAGGGCAAAAACTATGTCTGATTAAATCTTCATATTCCCTAACAGGTGCCTGGCACACAATACATGCTTAATGAATACATGCATGGTTTCCTCCAATGCCCTAAGCACATTTCTGCCTCAGGGTCTCTCTCTTAAATTTACTGTTCCCTATGCCTGAAATGTTTTTCCTCCAGATATTCACTCCCACTTTTGTCTCTGCTCAAATGTCACCACTTCAGAGAAGGCTTCCCTGGCCATTGAATCTAAATCAGCATCCCTGGTCATTCTCCTTTACCCTCTGTATATTTTTTGTTTGTTTGTTTGTTTATGGAAACAGCATCTTGCTCCATCATCCAGCGTGATCATAGTTTACTGTAACCTCCAACACCTGGGCTCAACGAGTCCCCTTGCCTCAGCCTCCTGAGTAGCTAGGTCTACAGGCATGTGCCACCATGCCTGGCAACCTTTTTTATTTTTGTGGAGATGAGGTCCCACTATGTTGCCCGGGTTGGTCTCAAACTCCTGGGCTCAAGGGATCCTCCTGCCTTGGCCTCCCAAAGTGCTGAGATTACAGGCCTGTGCCACCATGCCTGGCCCCTATCCTGTTTTAATGTTTTATTTCATAGTACTTATGATTATCTGACACTATATTGAATGTTTCTTTGTTGATTGACCATCTCCTTACTATGATACAAATTCCTTTTTCTCACTCATCACAGTCTCTCTACTGTCTAAAACAATGCCTAGGATAATAGGTATTCAACAAATAGTTATTGAATGAATATATGGCATGGAGGTGAGTGACTGACAGATTCTGGAACATAGTGATGGAGAGAAAGGGTTGAAACTATTATAAAATAAGGAAATGCAGAGCTGGAAATTACAGGCCCCCAAGACCTCACTCTTGGGAATAATAGCAAAGACAGGCCCCAGACCCAACAAAAGGGAGAGTGAGATGAGAGCCAGGTGGAATTCTGGAGCTAGGACCTCAGGGAGCACAGACTTCCTGGGAAAGCCCCAGAACTGCAAGCCGGCCACGTAGAGGAAATGGCACCGGCTGAAGGCCGAGGAGTTTACTCAGACCTAAAGACAACATCCACCCCAAGCCCAGGCCTCTCTTGGCCAGATGGTTCCGGAGAAGCCTTTGCATCTGTCCCTCCATAAATTATCAAGGGCTCCCTCCTGCCTGTCTTCTCTGGTGACAGCCAGAACAATCGTCCAGGAATTCCATCTGCTCCCCTGTCCCTCTCCCCCCATACCTCATCAACATTTCAGAGCAGAGAGGTCTCCCGTTTCCCTGGGCCTAGGGTTGGAGGCAGGGCGGTTCCTCGGTAAAGGCGGTCTCAGGCCCTCATGCCCCGCCTCCCATCAACCCACACAAAGGAAACCTCGGCCGGCACTTTTCCAGATCCCCCGAGGGAGGGGTCATCCATCTTTATTTCCCATCCCATCCGTGATTGTTTATCCCACACATCTGTTTTTAAAAATTAATGTGATAAAGTCACACTAAATAAATTAATCACGTAGGTTCTTCCAGAGCTGAAAATAAAGGCTCCCAATTACTATACATCTCCACACGGTTCCTCTTAAACTACTCATACGGTATTTTTCCACATGTGACATTCGGGCACTTGTTGTGATATCAAACCACACACTCAGGATTTTTGAAATATGATTTTTGCTGTTGACTAAAAGGAAGTAAAGGAAGAAGGGATACTAGTTTTCTTTTTAAAATAGGAATGACCCCAGATATCATCTCTCCTTTTCCAGAAATTGCTTTGGGACTCCCAAGGGGAAAGAGGCCCTTGTACTTTCAAGTAAATAAGCTTATGGTAACTAGAATTGAAAAGTGATTCAAGTTTACATTTTTTTGAAAGTGGGAGAAGTGTCAGTAAACATAAACATACCTTTGGAAAAAAAAGAAGGTAGGGATAGTGGCTCAGCCTGTGGTCCCAGCACTTTGGGAAGTTGAGGTGAAAGGATTGCCTGAGCCCATGAGTTCGAGACTAGCCTGGGCAACTTGGCAAGACCTCATCTCTACAATAAATCAAAAAATTAGATGGATGTGGTGGCATGCGCCTGTGGTTCCAGCTACTTGGAAGGCTGAGGTGGAAAGATCACCTGAGCCCCAGCAGGTTGACGCTGCAGTGGCCATGAGCATGCCACTGCACTCCAGCCTGGGCGACAGAATGAGACTCCAACTCAAAAAAGAAAAGAAAAGAAAAGGAGTCACGGTTTTCTTTTTCTTTCTTTTCTTGTTTTTTTTTAAAGTTGGAGTCTCACTCTGTCACCCATGCTGGAGTGCCGCAACGATCACCGCAGCCTCGACCTGCTGGGCTCAGGCGATCCTTCCAAGTAGAACTAAGGCGTGCACAACCACACCTGGCTAATTTTGTTATTTATTTTAGAGATGAAGTCTCACCAAGTTGCCCAGGCTGGTCTCAAACCCTTGGACTCAGGCAATCCTCTCACCTCAGCTTCCCAAAGTGCTGGGATACAAGGCTTCAGCCACCGTGCCTGGCCGAGTCACAGTTTTCTAGAGTTTACAAAGGACAAAGTTCTTTTTACTATGGGGAGGCTGGTTTACCTCATCTACCTCCCCCCATCTATGGATGCTCAAATGCACTTGTATGTCTAAATATTCATTAGGCCACAATTACTGGGAAAGAACCGTGAGGAAGGTGATAAAAATTCATGATCTCTTCTAGTTTTAGGAGTCTTAAGAATTTTCTTGCAGTGACAATGCCCTCAGGTCCCCTTCTGCTCTGGGAGCGTTTCTATCCTCTCAATAAATCCTGCTTTCTCAAAAAAAAAAAAAAAAAAAAAGTAGCTGCAATTTGCAGAAGAGTCAGGCTCACTTTGTTCTGATGGTGGTTTACATATGGTTGTGCCCTGATAGCCACAGGACTGCAGGTGAGGCAGGATTCACCTGTGCAAGCATAGTCAAGCATTTCCCAAGGCACAATCCACCTAGGTCCAAGGCAGTTCTTTCTGATGATTTCATTTATGTAAACCAATCTTCCCACTGGAATGGATGTTTGATGTGGAGTCTAGGGTTGGCCTGACACACTCTACATAGGCAGAAAGTGCGTCTTGAACCAAGATAGCAATTTGAGCTCCCGGTATTGGGCGAAATTGCTGGAAAAGAGGAGTTGAAACCATACTGGGTTCAGCCCCACAGTCATTTGACCTGTTCATCATAACAGCTAGAAGAGTTTTAGGTCATATGCAGTCTTTCTGGTCATAGGCGACATTATCTACTGATGGTGTGAAGACAAGAGACTGCCTATGTTCTTATTTGTGATCCTAATTGGACATGGTGAATCCTGTATATATGGTTGTTATGACAATGATTTTGAAACTTCAAGAGGTAATAACTTGGTCAACTTCCCTAGGTTGAAGTCATATACATTTCCTAATTCTTCTGTCTATTAATAGAAGTCCACAGCTGCCACCCTGGTGGGTACACTTTTATTATATGTAATGTCTTTTTCCTAACATGGAATGTTGAATTTGATGGAGGCCTAAGAAATTTAAGTTTTAAAGACCTTGGAACTTGGTAGGATCTTGCTTTCCTTTATATTCTAAAATTCATTTCTGTCTCTTTTCTTTTTGAGTCAGAGTCTCACTCTGTCACCTAGGCTGGAGTACAGTAGCATACTCATGGCCACCACAGCCTCACCCCAAGGTCTCAGGTGATCCTTCCACCCCAGCCTTCCAAGTAGCTGGGACTACAGCTATGCGCCACCATGCCTGGCTAATTTTTTTTTAATTTTACTGTAGAGATGATGAAGTCTCGCCAAGTTGCCTAGGCTGGTATTGAACCCCTGGACTCAGGCAATCCTCTCACCTCTGCCACCCAAAATGCTGGGATTAGAGGTGTGAGCCACTGCACTCGGCCACCCATTTATGTCTTTAAAAATACTTAAAGGAGCCGGGTTCAGTGGCTCAGCCTGTAATCCCGCGCCTTTGGGAGGCTGAGGTGAGTG